TATGACATATGTAACATTGTTATAGACTTAACCTTATCGCTTTTAGAATTAAAAGTTAATCGTACGATTACGTACAACATTGAACTTTGATTTGCTGCATTGACATGGTCTGGTTCTAATTTTATTTCGCTGTAGTAAGATGTGTTATTTTGTTGATATGGTAAATAGTATTATAACATTTCATTGTATTTTTAACACAGTTACCAACATCAAAACATTAAACATCAATAACATTTAACATTAACATTTAATATTTAACATTAACATATTTAAATATTATTATTTACATTTTTTATTTACAATTAAACAACATTACTTTTACATTTGTGACATTGTTTAATTCCAAACACGGACAGAGTCCTAACCTGCCTTTACATTAATGTTAAAGTGAACACTGACCAAAAATGTTTTATATTCCGTCAGGATGCGGTGATAATTTGTCAGACGTTGTTCCAATTGTCGTCGACGGGCGGCGGCGGCGGAGGCGGCGGTGTTAGCAGCGACCAGAAGGTAATACACCAATGTACCGTCCGTCCTTCTCTTCACTAAATCAAAGTCATAAATAACAATCAAGCTTCATTAATTAATTTGACATGGAACATATAAATTAAATTTCTCACAGGTGGCGCCACGGCAAAAAAGTCACTAAAACAAAAAACAAACATCTGCAACTAACGCATAGAAAAAAATCGTAGGTCTGCTGGTTTGTTCCGTGGCTTAATGGACAGAGCATCTGGCACGGATTGCCTGAGAGTGCTGGTTCCAATTCAGCCGGATCGAATTAATTTATTCGTAGTTTTTAGACCTTTGTTATAATAATTATAACAAACTATTGGAATAATTATACAAAAAAAGAATTGAATATCATGTTAGTAAGACATCGTGGCATTCAATGAACTTAAAAATTATAATAATACAGAAATAATAAAAAAAACCAAATTAAAAGTAGACGCACATGTCAACTGGGTTTGTAACTCGGCTACAGCTATACCATTGTTCCCGTAACAAATTAAAAAAATATAAACACAGGAACGCCTGATCAAAATGATAATAACAAAATTAAAAAAAAAACAAAAAAAATTTGGTATTACCATTTTATTGTGAAGATAGGAATACCTCCAGATGTCCAAGTGTTTATTTTCAATTGAAATAGACATAATTTACAATTTTCACCAAAATGAATGCGCAGTATACAGCATAAAGTTTTGAATTGAACAATTTTTGTTTTTGACGTTATATGTAAGTCTAGTCCATTCGGACAGAATCGATTTGTCTAAACAGCTTTTGTTTACGTAAATTATTAGTCACGTCCATTCGCAAAATCTACGCTTGAAAGGCTAAATGGGATAAGTAAGCGACACTTTTGGTCATATTGAGTTATATATACTGTTGGAATCAACCATAGATATAGAAAAAAAGGGGAGGTATGTAATGACGCTATGTAAGATCGGATCCCGATGTCGCCACTTTTTAGCTTGTGTGCAATTCAAACTATACGCTCTATTATCTACTACCATAATTTAAAGATTTTGGTTGAGTAGGGCTTAAAACGTGAAAACGACGTAACACAATTTTAAAATTTAACAAAATTAAACTTAGTCACTTGAGTAAGAGTTATATTTCAATATTTCAGTATTTTTTTCATCCTGGTTCAGCCATTCACCATCAGGTGGCGTTTTAGTAAAAATGCTACTAGTATATAATAGCTAACTACTACACGTTAGATGGCGCTGAAACTCATTTTTCTTCACACTAAGAACATGGAGCGGTTTTCATCCGCGTTTGCCGCGGGACCGCAGCACCTATAGAATGTAATAGTTAAGTATGTAAAATTAGTAGCACATTTCACGGCGCGTTTTACGCCTGTAGTGGTGACGGTTGCTCGCGGTTGCCGCGGCGGGGTATTAGTAAAACCGCGCAGGACGCGATCACCTGCGCGCTTTGGCGGTCGGTTCAGACGCATGTAGTGCAGGCGCACGCGGGAAGAGTTCTCTATTAACCGCGCGACTTGCGATTAACTTCCACTAACTTCGCTGTCCGTTCCGCAATCGCAACGGTTTCGTGCCCGCAACCGCGGCGGCTACGTGCCCGCAACCGCGGCGGCTACGTGCCCGCACAACCTTGCAGGGTCGTGAGTATTGAAATAAAACCGCTGTCTAGCATCACCGGCGGGCGCGGATGGAAACCGCTCTGTGAATTGTTCACCTTATTAACCTTAAATTGACGCTACTCAACGAGGGATGTGGTCCTACCTAATCGATAGTTAGAAACCATGTGGCTGTTTTTAATATTAAAAATATTCCATTTTTCATGCTATACCTACACTGGTACTGGTGTATTATTAAATTAATATATTAATATAAATTATTATTATTTTCTTAATGGCGACCACTAGGCTTGGGCCAGTGTCAGTTTTATTAGAATAATATAAAAAATATGGCGATCGTCGCCAGTGTCAGTTTTCCATTATACGTTACCACGGGTTGGCGAAGCTGTCACTGTCAAGAGTATACTCGAACCATCAACGAATTTAATAAATTAAATTATGTTGTTTTTTTTATGAAGGAAACATGTAATTTTCTATAATTGTTTCTAATTTATTTTGCATGGACATGTAAAATAAAGCCGATTTTATTTTATTTATTTTTTAAATGCATCTGCTATGGAAATTTAAACAAAGCCAGAAATAGTAACAAGAAAACCAATCTTTCGATTTTCCTGCAGCTTCAATCCAACCTTCTTTTATTTTGAACTCATGGGAAAAACTTAAAAATTAAAAATAGTATACGTTTAATCTACGAATGGAATTTAAATATCTAAATTGTCTAAAACATTATTACAAATTGACATGAAATTGAAACGGTTGTCCGAAATATGAGTTGTGTTAAAGTTACTCGAAATAAAATGTTTAGTAATAATAATGAAATAAAATAAAAGAAATCAATTTAACGTGAATGCTTTTCGCTTCGATATTTTAGTGACTTTTATTACAAAAATCATGGTAAGAAATTCAAACATTTCAGTAAAAAGTTATTGTCGATAAACATCAGTCATCGTAAACGAACATCACTATATTTGAGTCTAGAAATTTCTGTGAAGACAAAAAGAAAACATTGAATAATAATAGAAATAGTAACTAAAAATGCAAATAGCCGGTGGAATGTTATCTCACTGGTTTTAAAATGTTTGTTTTCACTCCAATTTTTACAAGGTGTATCGTTACAACTTGGCATTTTCACGTTTTACGAGAGATCTTGCATGTACAACGATCGCCACGTCACTGTGGTGATGTTTGTAGGCGTGTCACCTAGATATGATCGTATTGATCATATCGAGGCGACACGAACCAGACCCACATACCAAATCTCCCCTTTTTTCTGTATCTATGGAATCAAGTAATATTTCTGATTCCAACGGTATATATAATTGTTATGATGCTATAACAATTTTTCTTTTTGACGTAAATTGAAAAACAAAAAAGACGGGACTTATACTCGTGCAAATGGACGGGCAAATGCGCAGAATCGAACAAGTAAAAAATTTTTGTTTTTGACTTAAATTTACAAGACACGTTCATTCGCGCAGAATCGAACTATGTGAACAAACAATTTTTGTTTTTGACGTTATAAGTTGCCAAGTCCATTTGCGCAGAAGTGTGGACGATATGGTTGTTTGGGTATTACACTCTTTAAGAAGTACAAAAGGGAGTTGAATAATCGACTACTACTTAGGTGGACGAACTGGCGTTAGAAATGATGATAAAGTTGCCGCCTAAGATCGACGTGGAAACGACTGAGCGTCTGATGGGCATGGAAATCACCATGCCGATGTGCGTTTCGCTGCTTCAAGAGATTGGTTACTTCAATGTGCTTATTTCTGGTATTGTTGGTGGACTTAAGGTAATAAAAATTTCATACTTTTGTTATATTCATAATTAGTTTTACCAATAGTCGGAAAAAGGTGTTCCACATGAATAGATACTTGTAGCTATACATATATAGATATGCAGCGAAACAAAGTTGTTAAAACCACCAAATCTTAATTAATGACTTTCGAATTTCGGACTTCCGGAAATGGTTTTACTGCATCGTAAGACAAAACTACGGGCCTAGGAAGTCGGAGTCGGATTTTAAAGTAATTCTAATGGTGCCATGTAAAAAAAATGTCTAATAAACTTAAATACACTTTGAATCAAATTTATGTGGAATAGACCCTTGTCGTCTATCCAGACATCTTTATCTAACACATAGTCTTCAATTTTGTAATATGACGTAAATGAAAATACTTTTATTAAACTTAGGGCGCGTTCCCAATATGTCGTCACGTTTTATTATCGTTGGCCGACTGTCGTATCTTGCCTGTCCCCATATCACGACTATCTGTCGTGGACGATTTTTTATCGTTGAACGATTATCGCAACTAGCTGTTCCCACTAGGTCGTGACGACAATTTATCGTTTCACGACAGCCTCTTTGTTCATCTCTAGCTACGACCCAACGCTACTGCAGAGCGGGCAGAGGGCGCGGGATACAAGAGGGGAGGGAGGAGCAGAATACGTGCGGACAGCGATAAATAAAACGTGACGACAATAGGAGCTGCGACAATCATCTGTCTTCACGTTTTTATCATGACGTTTTTTTATCGTCCGACGACTGTCGTTCTAGCTGTTCCCATTGTGACGACAGTTTGTCGTTGTAACAATAAAAAATCGTGAACGACAGTTTATCGTGTCGTGCTATATGTGAACAACTTCATTTAAATATACAAGCCACGACACTATAAACTGCACGACAATCTGTCGTCACGACATAGTGGGAACGCGCCCTTAGGAAATGATAATCTTAATAATTGCTCCGGAATCATATTGTAGAAACGTTTATAGTTCCCTATAAAAAATGGTGGTACCCTGAGTTTGGACTTAGTTATAAGGTTAACATTATGGATATAATTCTTAACGAAATTATGTATATTTTTATTTTACATGGTTTTTAAAATTAACGATTGGTGGTGATCGCACTCAAGTGACAAATACGATGTTGTAGGAGCTCCGACGCGCCATAGAAGGCTTGGTAGTGATGTCGGAAATGCTCGAAATCATGTACGCCTGCATCTTCGAAGGCAGGGTGCCGACGTTCTGGCAGAAGGGTAAGCATTGTGCTGAGCGATGTGAACATTGAGTGTAAGACAAATTTTTGCGGTTCTATTCATAGATTAAGTTCAGATGACAAAGATTTAACGCTCGTTTTGAAATGGCGTGTCTAGATATTCATACATACCTATTTCTGCCACTAAGCAGTAATGTCAGCATTACTGTGTTTCGATTTTGAACGGTAAGGTTCTTGGTGAAATTACAGGCACATGGGACTTAATAACTTATGTCAAGCCCTCGTCTAAACCGTTATTAAGACACGCTAATTGCGCGCGGGACGAACGCCCCGGCTACACACTACCGGGGCAGGCGAACGACGCGTCCATACTGTTATCCGAAATTACATGGGTTAAAATATAAAATAAAATTACTGTGTTTCCCATTACATTTACGTCAATGCAATAGGTAACCGGAAGCAGGCAGTTCGGATTGGATTTGCTTGAGGCACAGACCTGTTTGTGAGAAAAGTAGTGTCCCCGGGTCGGTATGGAGCTCCTTAGCTTACGGAGAGACGTTGGCTCTCTCTGTGTGTTCTACCGTCTTTATAATGGGGAGTGCTCTAGTAAGACCACAAGGGCATCTCGTTCGTCTCTTCCTCGAACCTGCAATGTGTGGAATGTTCTTCCTCCTGAAGGGAACGCCCCTTTGCGCTATGACATGGGGGTTCTTCAAAAAGCGCCTTTACGGGGCTCAAAGGCTGGCAACGCATAGGCAGCTCATCTGATGTTGCAAATGTCCATGGGCGACGATGACCACCTCCCGTCAAGTGGCTCGTCGGCTCGTTGGCCTCCTTCTTTACATAAAAAAGAGAAGGTCCCCGAAGCGCTGCGCTTGCGCAGGGCGGCCGTCGATGAAGCCGCTGGGCGCGTGGTGCCGCGAGCTGCAGCTGCGCGGCGCGCACCTGGGCGCGTGGGCGCTGGCGCCGCGCTCGCCGCCCACGCTGTGCTGGCTGCCGGCGCTCGTCGTGCCCACCGGCTTCCTCACCGCCGTCATGCAGGCGAGCCGACCCTTCCTTCACCTTGTAGTAGATAACGTTGTGCCGTGTCTCTCCGCAGAGATTAGCAATTTTAAATAGCAAACCACCATGACACTCGGACGTATTAACTAAAATAACTAAACTGTCTATATGATTAAAGACCGCGAATTGGTTCGAAACATATTGAGCAAAAATTCGACGTCACATACGTTGCTGTGCTCCCAAAATAACTAACTAACAGTGGCGAGGCGTCCATATAACTCGATTCCCTCCGGCTTGCCTATTACCGGTTGCACCGCGCATACCTCACCTGTATGGTTCTCTGAACGTCTAAGATTGGAGTATTATTAAGTAGAGTAGGATATAGAGTTGACGCAAACCACAGTTTCCGTAATAAGTTGATGTATTAAGTAAAAAGTGTACAGTATAGTTTTGAATGCCTATCTGTGGCCGATCGCTAGTGAAGCTAGTTGTCAACTGTCTTTTATGAGCGTTTACACGTGCAATATGTAGGTTGTTAAGTTAGCAAAGTATTGTACGGTGCAAAAACCGTACATCACCACTTAAAAAACATTTATAAAAAAAATTCACCATTAGACGCGTAATAACTTGTCCCGATGGTTCTCAACCAATAAGCGCGAGGTAAGCCGGTAGATCGGCAATTTCTATTTCGTTCGCAAAAATCCTCTTTGTATAAAGAAATGGCGGCCGATAAGCCGCAGTAATTCCGAGTTATTGTCGAATAGCGTACACTTAAATTTGTACCTTACACATTATAGTTTAATTTGTTTTAATGTCAGAATCGTTGCCAGATGTAAAACTTTCTTAAAATAATGTAACTAAATTATTATAATAGCAAATTAATACAAAATATAATTAATTTATATTTTGTAAATTTTAACGATAAATAATATTACATATGTATTAAATATTTAACGGAGTGTTTCTTTCTAATAGGACTACGTAACGAATGTATGTAGAAGGTCATGGTAATTCGTAGGTAATTAAAATAGCAACACTTAGCATTTATGTGTTTGTTTACATATTTTTCGTATCGCGGCGGGCAGCTTAAAATGTAAAATTACTTTAAAAGCTATGGTTATTTTACATGTAGAATAAGTTATCCTGTGAAATAACGTGAAATAGTACATACAAATATTTAACCTAGTCCGGGAACCGAACCCGTCACCTCTGCGTGGCAGACCGGCATGGTAACCGTTCGGCCACAGAGGCAGTTAATTTTCAATAGCCTTCTACAATAGCGGCCTATCTCAAAAGCTTCTAATTTACCAGGAAGTAAACAGGAGAAGTGTTGTACTGGTGTGCTTTCCAGTGCTTAAATAAATTACCAAATTATAAATACAACGCGTATAGGGAAATGTGTGAAAGTCGAAGACAGTTTAAATCTAGGTTAAGATGGTGTCAAGACCATCAAGATCAAATTAAGATGGATACAATAGCACTACATCGATCACAAAACGACTTTAAACATTTTGGAAATGTACAAACGACTTGAATGGTCGGCCTGGCCTACCTGCGGTTGTTAGTGGATCTAGTGATTCGAAATCGATTGCGAACTTATTTAGGGACCACTTCAAGGTGCAGTCGCGCTCGGCCATACACAGGTGCACAATACTGAGGTTGACCCAGAGGTGAAACTAATACGCTTTAGTGCTAAAGAAGTGTCAAACGTAATTCGTCATATGACTAGGGGTAAGTCACCTGGGCATGACGGCCTCAGTGTCGAGCATCTGCAGATGGCCGGTGTTCACCTACCAAGGGTTCTATCTATGTTTTACTCACTGTGTGTCAGTCACTCCTATTTGCCGCATGAAATGTTAAAAACGATTGTCGTACCAATAGTTAAGAACAAAACAGGGGACTTGTCAGAGAAGGGAAACTATAGGCCCATATCACTGGCCACAATTATAGCTAAGGTTCTTGACGGGTTGCTTGACTGCCGTCTCGGTGAATATCTAGACTTGCACGATGCTCAATTTGGGTTCAGGCAGGGGGTGTCAACCGAGATGGCCATACTGAGCCTGAAGCATACCGTCAAGTACTATACAGATCGGAGTACGCCAGTCTACGCGTGCTTCCTGGACCTCTCTAGGGCCTTTGATCTGGTGTCATATGGTATCCTGTGGGATAAGCTAGCAAGCACAAATATTCCACGTGAGCTCATTAATGTTTTTAAATATTGGTATAGCAATCAGTCTAATTATGTAAAATGGAATGACTCACTGTCGGAGGCATACAGGATGGAGTGTGGGGTGAGGCAGGGAGGTTTAACTTCACCGAAACTGTTCAACTTGTATGTCAACGGTCTGATCGAGGAGCTCAGCAGAATGCATGTGGGATGCTATGTGGAAGGCGTAAGCGTGAACAACATTAGTTATGCGGACGACATGGCGCTGCTGTGCCCCTCTGTCGGCGCTCTCAGACAAATGTTGAGAGTGTGTGAGTCATATGCGGAAAAACATGGACTTTTATACAATGCAGGCAAAAGTGAGTACATGATCTTCAAGTCTCATAGGATGAATCCCAGTGTTTTTCATAACATCATGCTAAATGGTAAAATACTCAATAGAGTTACACAATTTAAATACCTGGGCCACATTATATGTGATGACTTGAAAGACGATCGTGATATTGAACGGGAACGGAGGGCATTGGCAGTACGGACTAATATGTTGGCCCGTAGGTTTGCTCGTTGTTCCAAACAAGTCAAAATTACCCTTTTTAAGGCGTTCTGTCAAGTATTTTACACGAGCAGTCTATGGGTCAATTACACTAAAAAAGTATACAATGCCCTCCGCGTCCAATATAATAACGCCTTTAGGATGCTGTTGGGACTGCCTCGTTATTGCAGTGCTTCAGGGATGTTCGCCGAGGAACGCACTGATGACTTTTATGCCATCCGACGGAAGCGGGTTGCGTCTCTGTTGAGCCGGGTGCGAGGTAGTCACAACAGGATTCTGAACGTAATCGCTAATAGGTTTGATTGTCCCATCCTGAAGTTCTGGGTGGACTTAATTGTATGTAAGTATTAGTCTTAGTTTCATTTTAATTGTATTATAGTTAAATTTTGTTATTATTATTATTATTATCATTATTATTATTAATTAACATAGTTGTAAGTACCCAATGTTACTAACAATAATATGGATGCAATTATCTGAAATAAATGTTTATTATTATTATTATTATTATTATTATAAACTATTAAGTTTTTCTTGTATTATCGTACACTTTCCAGATCTGTGTTTGATAGTGTTGAGTCATGGAGAAAATTCCGTTCTGAAAAAAACATATATGTATTATTATTATAAAAGAAATATTATAAACGACAAATTTTAAATAGACGACGGCACGCGGCGAGAGCTGGCCCATCGACACTTTGTGCTGGGAGTTCACGGTGTTGAACTTGGAGGAATCTGCCTTCGTACGTCCACCGCGCGACGGCGGAGTCTACATCAGGTAAGATGTACCTAATGAAACCTCACAGTGTTCATTTAAGTGGTCATTTTACCTTTCATCAATTATGATGAAATTTAGCATTAGCAAAGCGAAGATCAGATAGTACGCCATGCTAAATCGTAGTGAATAACCCACTTAAATGAGAACACATTTAGCATACTATTATCTTTTATCACAATCATCATTATCCTCAACTTATTATTAGTCCCACTGCTCGGGCCTGGTCTTCTCTAAGGAGAGTGTTTAGGCTTTAGTCCATCACACGGACATTCAGGGAATTGGACGTGAAGCGACTAGACATCCAGGGAATTAGACGTGCAGCGACTAGATATTCAGGGAATTGGACGTGCAGCGACTAGACATTTAGGAAATTGGGCGTGCAGTGACTAGACATTCAGGGAATTGAACGTGCAGCGACTAGACATTCAGGGAATTGTACGTGCAGCGATTAGACATTTAGGAAATTGGGCGTGCAGTGACTAGACATTCAGGGAATTGGACGTGCAGCGACTAGACATTCAGGGAATTGGACGTGCAGCGACTAGACATTCAGGGATACGATGTGCAATGACTAGATATTTATGGAATTGGGCGTGCAGCGACTAGACATTCAGGGAATTCGACGTGCAGCGACTAGATAATCAAGGAATGAATACATGAGACTAGACATTCGGGGAATTACACGTCATGAACTAAACCGCCTTCAAACTATTCTCTTGTTTTTTCCAGAAAATAATTCATTCATTCAGCCAAATCGCTCAAAATGCCTTGTGTCAATCCTTTCTCCTAACAATATTTGTCGAATAAAAATGGAGCTGAATAATTTCTTTCCGGGCCGTTAAAATTTAAACTAAACTCTAGTAGGCAGCATTACGGTTCAATATTACATCAACAAATATTGCAATTCTCGCCTCGCCCATCCTCGTCTATCCAGAACATTTTTGCCATACAAATTTCAATACTCGTCTCGCCTTGTTTCGTCTCGCCTCGCCGCCGGTGGAAAACCACCTTAAGTCTGGTGAATTGCATTATTGATTTTTTTGTGACGAAGCCTACTGCGGATTGACATTTGTAATTAATTTACTTATATTAAACTTAATCTGTATTCCAGGGGACAGTTTTTGGAGGGTGCCAGTTGGTTCAAAAAGGACAGCTGCCTAGCGGAGCCACTGCCCATGCAGCTAGTGTACCCAATGACTCCTATACACTTCAAGCCCATTCGCGCTACTGGGCGACGAATGAAGAGTAATTATAACTATTATTTACAAAACCATTGTATAATAAAACAAGTGCAACTTCCACCTAATCGCCGAGTCAATGCCTTTTTTTTTTTGACGGGTGGGAAATCTTTATGGATACCCCTGAGCCCAGGGAGACTCAGGGGTTATGTGGGGACTCTCCCTCCACACTGGAAGGCCTACCCCACTAAAACCCCCCCGGGTTTCCCTCTCGCCGGTTGAGTTCTCCCCGTACGTCTGCGCCGGGGCGGGTGCGCGTCCGCCGCGTCCTCGCGCACCCACTCCGCAGCCTCCTTTTGCGACATAACCTCTGCGCAAAAGGAGGCCACCGCCTCTCAGGACTCCTCGCTATCGAGCATGGCGGCAACCACGCTCGGCAGCGAGAGGTCCTGCCCTACAGTCCCCGTCAGAGTGCGGCGCTGCTCATCCCACCGGCTACACACCTCTAGGGTGTGCTGCGCGGTGTCATCCGCAGCGCCGCACTCGTGGCACGACGGGGACTGTTCCCTCCTCGCCACCTTGTGCAGGTAGTGACCGAAGCAGCCGTGTCCGGTCAGCACCTGCACAAGGTGGAACGACAGTGGCCCGTGGGACCGGTTTACCCACTCTACGAGGACAGGGCGGATCGCCTCTATGGTACGAGCGCCATAGGGGGATCCGCCAAGCCCTCTTTCCACCGGTCCCGCATGCGCTGCGCCGCGAGGCGGCGTTCCCGCTCCACCTCTTGGGGAGCGGATCGCTCGCCTCGGTCCCTCATTCCCCGGCCGAGTCAATGCCTACACTTCTCTCGGCGCGTAGAGTTGTCGCATTATTATTTTAGTTTCACTAATAGGACCCCGATTCAGAACTCTTCGGATTCGGATACGATATCTTTATGTTGGATAAAGATATCGTATCCGAATCCGAAGCGTTTACGGAGTTAGTCCGTGAAATAGATTATTAGGAAAATAAAAATCCTTTTATACACGATTTTAAAACTTTAAAGGCTTAAAATATAGGAAAGCATTAGCCTGGCATTAAAATAAATTAATAAAATTTAAAAAATCCAGACTTCATTTAAAATAATAAGATATTTCTATACTCCATTTTTTTTTAAACAATAGGACGTTCGGTAATTTTCATTCGATGTCTATGTTCTGAATAACGTTTGTAGAGAACGTCGAGTATATAACCAGAAACAGAGACGAAATAAGGGCCATATATTCCTGGTAACACATTAGCGATACAACTCTTATAAATATCAACTCCCGTTTGCACTAAAATATAAACAGGGCTGTGCGTACGTCTCCGTATATTCCAAAAAATATTCTGTATTTATTGTAATAAAGATATATCTAACAATACCGTGCTGTTCTATTCGGTGGTGTGGGAAAAACAGCAAAACATCTAATTACAAAACAAACGGAATCAAATTTCATCGGTAATTAAATATTAAATATGTATTTTGCAATTTTCGTCCATTATTGCAAAGCTCAAGTTAACTGGTCGATTTGAAGTGAAACAGTTGACGACACTCATTGACGACACCCGTCAATTGTTTCAAACTCGGGCTAGCCAATCGGAGCGCAGTTGTCACAGTATTGATATGGCAGAACAGTTTTCAAATTAAATGACATTTCGTCTCTATTTCTGGTTGCTTCGCTTGAGTAATCGTACGGTGTGACGTCATGTCGGTTCGGTTACGAATGCGACAGTTGACGTTCAATTCGGGTTGATGTGAATAAAAATGACAAGAAGTCGTATGATATCAAATCGACCCCATAGTTCAATACGGTGAAGATGCGTCACCAGAGAAGGGGCGGGAAAAACTGTTAAGCTAGATCAAATATGAAGAATGTGCTAATGTGTTACACGATACCCCATGCTTGTCCTATTGTTTGCAAAGCAAGAATGTAATATGGAAATATCTTATTATTTTAAGTAAAATCTGGATTTTGTTCAATTTTATTAATTTATTTTAATGCAAGACTAATGCATTCCTGTATTTTAGGCCTTGAAAGTCTTAAAAATGTATATAGAAGGATTTTCATTTTTCTTATAACCTATTTTACCGACTAACTTCGTAAATGCTGTTGGATAACGATGTCGTATCCAAGTCCAAATATCCAATCGAACGCGACGGTTAAAATAGCAGATCCATTGTTGCAGACCGGTATATTTGTCCTTGCTACTACTACCCCCTCCGCAAAGGTGCGTTCGTCGTCGCCACAGACTTGCCGTCTGGGAAGGAGTCGCCCGACTTCTGGGTGAAACGGGGCACAGCAATGCTCTGTACACTCGCCTCTTAAGTTGAATATTGTTTTCATGTTTCGTCCTTAATATACGGATCTTCTAAGCTATTTTGTGTTTAGATTGTAACCTAGTCTTAGAGAAACGCAGAAGACTCGGTCCACAAGATTTATTCTTAGAGATAATAAAAGAGGAAAGCCCAAAAGGGCCTATATAGTTATATACCATTTTCGCTTTGTACGTTATGGTCGTGGCAAAAATCATACTCGGCAATTGTAACATTATTCATGGCGGTGTTTTATATCAACCTTGTTTTACTATTTAATTTTAATCAATTTTCCATATTCTGATTATCAATAATCTTATACCGCTGCAATATACTTATATAGGTAGACTTTTTTGTAGAACGTTAAATTAGCGCCAATCGTTCGTCGTCTTTCAGATATTGTCGCTAGATGGCAGCACATTATATGTTGCAATATAAAATCAAAACGTAACTTGCAATAGTAGATATTGAACTTTCAACTAAATGCCAACTGGATAAAGTTTAAAGTCCAGAATTCGTTACATCGTTTTAAATTAGAAACTATGACAAGACAAATCATTATCAAGATATTTCATGGGAGTTACCGGCCTTGCTAATGGCGTCCGCCGCATTTCTATATTATTTTTATAAAACACGACATTGGCTTTGGCGAAATTATTGTTTCGATGGGGCCATAACATTTAAAAGAAGAAGATCATAATATGATGTGAGTTTTGGAGACAGCGGTTCTTATAATAATCAAGGCTCTTAAGCCCTTAAAAGCATTAAGCCCTTTCATTGCTTTTTTCTTCCGTGATTTATACTATTATTAAAATTCTGGTAACCGCGTTTATTATATATATATCTGAGCCAGTTATCATTTCAAACGAAATTTATTAGATAAACGATTTACTAGGCTGCCTACGAACATCTCGATTATGGATTTTTTATTTACAAATGTCACGTCAGTTTGAAAGCTCAAACTGGGTTTTGGTCGCAGATAGGGGGTGTAGTTGAATCATTTCAGTTGAATCAGTCACCCGACGTGGTCCTGTGACATGATGGTCGTTGGCAGGGTTAACATATGAAAATAAGAAGTGAAGTTGACGCTCAATTCTTTTAAGTGAGCGTGCTTGGAAAGAGGGTCTTTTTCTGTAAGTTGCTTGGAAAGTGAAGACGTGTCTCGCTCTCTGTGAACTTGCCGCTTGATATTTAGAATCCGTTTTAATCTCATCCATCTTTTACTTTTGAACTAATTAAGGTGAAAAGTGGATAAAATAATTAATGGCTCTTAATTAAATAATTAATTAATTCTGGCTAATTCAGCGACGAGGGTGTTTCCCTTAACTTCGACGTAGATAATTCGGATTGGACACTCCAGGATTCATTGTATTCCGTAAACTGTTTCATTTGCAACATTTACACAATTATGTATATTTGTTATATAGTCGCTTACCAAACAACACCGCTCATGTCTAAAATACCAAGCTCTGCTAAATAACAACTGACCACCTTGGACTCTATCGACAAGCGTCTTAAGCGGCTTATAGGTCAGTTCTTGAATACCGTCGTAAAGTTGCCTGCTTATTGGTATTCTACAGGATATATCACGGACAGTGTGCGCTGGCATTGCATGATTTGATTCCGCTACTACCGGTACTAGACATGGTCTGGGGTTTCAACCCTATGTTGTGAATATTCCCAGGATTCACACGACGCGTTTCGCTTCCATATTTATATGGCGAGCGGCTAGGGAGTGGAATTCCCTGCTTGCGGACTTGTACCCAGAACGCTATAACTTGGATGTTTTCAAAGCGTGAGTGAATAGGCATTATTTAGGTATGCATGCTACATCGTTGACCTCATAGTAATTTTCTGTCAGGCGTGATGGAGGTCAAACGCGTGCTTATTTTTATGTAAAAGAAAAAACTTTTCAGGGGAAAGGTTGAAAAATTCTACGAACGAAACTAGTTTTTTAGTAATATTTCAAATTAGTTTGTTTTTTTATGGCAAAAGACATCCAATCAAAATGATTAAACGCAAATTGTGGCGCAATGCAGAAGTCGGTTTTATTGTCACAATTTTGCTTTTCAGTTGTTTTCATAAAACATAAATTTGGCAACAGTTCTCAAACAATAGTAAAGGCCGATGCTTGCAAAGTTAAGGTTAACGAGCCAACCATTGGTAAGGGTTTCATGGACTTCGTGCGCCGTAATGTCAATCATCAGATTTCAGGCCAACCTGTCTGTGACGATTGCCTTTACTGCATTGAAAACCTGACACAACCGCTGAGGATTTATAGTAGGTATCATTGAGCAAAAAATATTAAGAAGAAGACGTCAGAAGAAGAAAAGTAAAAGTTTTACCTACAACTTTTACTTTTCTTCTGATGCTTCAGACCAAAGGAAAAGCTTCGGACCAACCTGTCTATGGCGATTATTAAGTGTTGAAATTTTCAGTAAAAGGAAAAGGCCCAATTGACGAAGAATGAGCCGGAAACAGTGCCGGAAAATTACCAAGAGGCGTAGATGTGTCTTGATACCTTACAATGCGGACATGCTATACAAGATCGGCCCCATTTCCTCCAATTACTGGACGTTTTCGATCAAACAAAAAGCGTAACATTTAACCATAACCCGTAAAGACGCACTAAATTTTGTAGCAGAGCCAGACGCACCATAACACTGGTTGGGTTAAATAGTTCTGTTGTTTCGTTGTGCACAGAAAGCTGCTGTAAAGAAAACTGGAAGGATGGAAAGAATGGGCGAAAGTGGAAATGATTTCAGTAGCAGCAGAGCTCGTTGCGACCCATTTCTTGTGCCAAGCCTAATGAAATTACAGGAACTTGTAGGAACGAATGAATTTTTCCATGTGTCTGATTTTTGTAATTAATAATTATAACAAATTAGTGGAGTAATTTCATAAAAAAAGTCTGCTCCTCACCCTAGTATCAGTCCTCTGATACCGGAGGGGGAATGTCGCGTCTAGCCTCCATGAATGACCAGCGTCCAGCCACCATGGATGACCAGATTGACAGGCCACAAATACAGGCTTACTAGACTGAAGGAATTCGAAATTAGACCGACTTTCTTTTGTACAAAAGACGACAACCGGAAAGGACACCTTTCTTTGACAAAGGACGACGAGGACAGTCCTAACTAAACCTCCGACGCGAGCAGACGACTTCTCCTGACTAAATTGTACAGGCAGACCGCACAATCATGGTAATAAAACATCGTGACATTCAATCATCGAACATCAATAAACTTAAAAATTACAAGAACTTGTTAACTTTAACTTTCAGGGTGGCGGCATAGTGGCATTGTCCCTTAGATCTTTGCGATTTAAAGCATTGAGTAGAGACAACTGTCAAAGATTAGATAGAAACATATTATGTCAAGTAAGAGCCTTAGAACAAAAGACTAGTTTCTAGATTCCATCGATTCACAGAAAAGGAGGAGAATAATGTTGGAAGGACCTCCTCTATTTTTGCCGCCAAGCAGTAATGTTACCATTACTGCGTTCCGGTTTTGAAGGGTAAGGGTGCTGGTGATATCATAGGCACATGGGACTTGTCAACAACTTGTGACAGGCATGTAACTTACAGCCAGGAACACGACTTATCGTCCCACCACTTGATACTATAAAAAAATATATATTACGTAACTGCGATACGCAAGAGTCACGCAAACTCAGTCTTGTTCTTACTCAAATCTTGCAAGGTCGATTTTTGGTTCGCAGTCTTGATTTTGCTACATTTTTTGCTCTTGGTTTGTTGCTGCAAGACCAAGTCTGATTGGGTAACACCAAAAACAACATACGCTATTATTTTATTAATATTAGGTAATGTATTATTCAGTACATTAAATAAAAAACTGTTTTGATAATGTAGGCTTTTGTACGGGTAGCCCCTCAAATAATGCAGGTATCAACAGGCTGTATGATGATTTATGATAGAATAAAACCCAAATTGCTATCAGAAATTGCATAGTTTTAATTTCACTTTTTATCTTCTGTACAATAACTTCAGGTATTCTTGTAAGTAAATTACACATTGTACTTATTTTATACTGTGATGTTATATATTATTATGTATTTATATCTGGACAATGCTAATATTTTAAAAGTAATTTATGTTGACGCCATCTATTGTTGCACCTTTGTTACACAACTAACGTGACCATACGCCCCGCTTTTAAGACTCGTGTCGCGCTGTCGCCAAAATACTTAACAATATCCCATTTTCACTAAATGGGACGCACGTGACATTAATTCCAAAAAAATGGAGCGAAAGCGAAAAACATATAATTTTTAGTTCTTTTAATTGTTAGTTCTTTCTGAATTTTTTTAAATCATGAAACAATTCGTAACTATTATAAATAATTATGTGTTTTATTTTTAAAACAATAATAAATTTATAGGCGTTTCGCTCCGTCAGGAAAAAATAGTGGTCACGTTATAGGTACAAGTTGTAATCGTTAAGTGTGCCCAGGCGATTATTCCGTATATATAAGAGAGATCAAATAGCTTTAAACTGATATCGAAAGTACGTTACCTAATGAGTAAATCGATATCAATAACTTTTTAACAACCGTACCGTACCTTCGATATCAGTTTAAAGCTTTTTGATATCTCATAAATTTATACAACAATCGTCTGGGCACACTTAACGATTACACCCTCTATAGGTACAACTTACACATCCTTTTTATATTATGAAATTCCTAAAGAATCGCTTAAAAACATGTGGCAAGACAAAGATAGTCGTACATAACGATAAAAAATGTATCACAGTCATCTTAGTGAGTTATTTGCTTTAAAATAGGCAACGTGCAAGTAGCTATAATGACATAAATATGTAAATAAAATCCTAGATGGCGTTATTTGCATCAAAATTACGCAACACACACACGTATAGTCTCTTTGTTACGGTACGTTATTGTATTTTTCTTGATTTTTCTTGTAATAGCCATTGTGACAAACTTTGTAAATGGCTAAATAAGTTTGTAATTAAAGAATTTAAAAAACTGTAAAGTTTGCAAATAAATAAAAATAAAATACAAGTTAACAAAATCAGTAGCTACTCCATATACTCTCAAGTCGGGGCAATTGACACAAATCCGACGACAGCCGAAAAACGAAGATTGCCGAGAGCTGTTAAAAAATTGTCCTACTGTAGTTGTACCATGGCCGAATAATCCAAGAGGACTGTTAATTGCGATACAAGGCAGCGTGGTCAGTTACATAGTACCTATTGGTACCAAATGCCTACTTTTGTAACTTGTTTTGAGATGCTGCTATTCCTCAAAGCTACCCTAATTTCTAAAGATAGAATCAACAATGGTTTTAATATTTATAAATATATGTATATCGCATTTATTAATCGATTTTTATCCATTGATTAGTAATTTTTCATACACCCCGTCTTTTTCCTGTGAATTATATAATTACTTCCATTCAAAGGCTATCTGGCAGAAATCGCTTAAAGTGATAAGACCGCCTGTTACATTACCGCTTAATTTAATTGTATTGTATTTGTTTCCTTTTTTGGTGTACAATAAAGATTTTTTTGTATTGTATTGTATCAACTAGATGGCGCTTATTGCACAGATTTTTATGGATAGTGCCAGCTATTTTGTTTAGGATTAGCGCCATCTATCCATATTAGGAAGCGTTTGTTTATAAATTCCCTTGTAACACACAATGCCATCTATTGACACGCATATTTGTCAAAGCTCGGAAAATAAAAAGTGACTTCTTACATTTCACATTAAAGAGGAATTAATTGATATCCACGGCCACTTACATATTGATCAGCGCCATCTAGATGTAAGATGGAATTTTAACCTTTTATCTAGCTGGAGATTAGCAGTCTTCTTGAGTTATTGGTCATGGTAGTATTGTTGGCAACCATAGCTAATACCAAATGCCGGCGTTAGATGGCGCTAGTCACTTGCACGCTTCCTGTTTGCTGTTACACAAAGGTGCAGTAAATCGACACGTGTTGTTATTAAATTGCAATTGGGATTGCAGGATTTAATTCTACCTTCTTTCCATTATTGGGGGATTAGACTTAGGATGGGGTTACACCTTTGTTTTTTAGACATTCCAAAGAGTTGCTCGAAGCGTTAAGCTTCCATAGTTTTATAATGGTGAACGGTTATGGAGTGGAATTTATTGCTTACAGACTTATCCCCTGAACGCTATGACTTGGACCTTTTCAAGGCGAGAGTGAATAGGCATTATTTAGGTGTGCATGCTCCATAGTCGTTACTTTCCATCAAGTGAGATGGCGGTCAAATCTGACTTTCTTGTCATAAACAATTCATTTGAATTTTGACAACTTTCGAGATTTAAAATAGAGGGGGTTGTAGATCTCGTTTCACTGATTCTAGACGTGCTAATAACTAAATTTCGCTAAAAATCTCGATTACCTACGTTGCTTAGGATCAATGGTCGGAAAAAGGTGTTCCACATATATAGATATATGTATGTACTCTCCGCCCCTCCCTAGCTTTGGATACCACACTGCGCCCCGCATATTGACGGTCACATTGACGGAACGGCAACAAGGCTGTCAGTTATCTACTGCATTTTTACATGGTACCATTAGAATGACTTTAAAATCTAACTTCGACTTTCTAGGTCAGTAGTTTGTCCTACAATGTAGTAAAACCATCTCCGGAAATCTGGAATTCGAAAAAATAAGTAATATTTGAGGGTTTTAACAACTTTATGTCGCTCCTTGTACCTTTGTCTATATATGTATCTATATATGTGGAACACCTTTTTCTGACCTTTGCTTATGATGGACGGCAGAAATGCCTATTTTATCATTAAATAACTGTAACGCTCTTGCTATACAACGTTGAGAAACTGTCAAATTTATAATAATTTGATAACAATTGCTAAGGTTTGGTACTAATCACACTAAACAGGCATGTTTTATTTGAATGTCGATAAGCAATAAAGTGTTAACCCATAAAAACTCGAAAATTGAGATTTGTAGCTTATCTCAACTACATTTTACAAACAAATTAAGTGAATTGAAACATCCAAATATTAAAAAAAAACAGTTGGCATAAATCCATTATGACGCGCATGTAAATGGATTTGCCGCCATCATGAGAAAGAGAGCGGCATCCTTGATGCGCAGAGTGCGTGACAGCAGTTACGGCATCGTGAGTATTATTGCTGGCAGGGTCCAGGGTTCATTTCTTGAACACTGGACAAAACTTCATGTCTATACGAAATCCAGTACATATTTATAAGTTGTAATTACTAGCATTAGTGTGCAAGTTTTTTTGTCTTTGTTGTACTAATTTTAAACGTACTTATAAACGTTCTTTGTTAAACGTATTCTTTCTGTCTAACTAATCAACATGTATAAATAATCCGAAATAAAGTAATTGAATTGAATTGATCAAACCACTAAAAAATCTATTGGCGCCATTTTCTTAAAACTATGATCACGGTGGTTGGCACGTTATTGCTTACCAGCATCCGTTAGACGTGGCTAGCTCCCTGGAACGCTTAAAAAAACAGACTGACCGGCGGCACCCATTACAGTAGCACGTGCCGGTAATCCAGAGGCTAATAAGTCACAATAGCTTCATTAAAGAAATATACCCTCTGGACGGGGAATCTAAGCAGGCCCGAATAAGTCTCTTGAAATAGAGATACCCATCACTCAACCCGCTGTCGAACCAACTCCCACCTGGGCATGATCTATCTTGGCAAACTTGGAAGTCCCTAAATAGGCTGCGGACCCAAGTCGGCCGAAGCAAGGAGCACATGTCCGTGTGGTGTCTCTCCTCAGACAATGGCACATCTTTTGTCCTGCCCTGCATGTCTTTACACCTGTACATGCGAGGACCTGTACAACGCCACTAATAATGCTATCTCAGTCTCTTGGTCCTCACAACTATAAACGCCAGAGTCGACACGCCAAGAAGAAGAAGACCAGTATTCATTTATAAAAAATGCTTTATCGTCATATAAGTTATAAAAAATATATCACAGTCATCTTATTACATTAAAATGGGCAAAGTGCTAGTAGTTGTGATCTTCTAATAAAGCCTAGACGGCGCTATGACGGATTTGTATCAAAATTAACGCTAGATCTATTAAAATTCATAGACAATCTAGCTTCTTTTTTAACACGAAAGATTTATGGTTGAATACTGGCTGGTTATTAATAGGACCCTGCAATTGTTGCTCTGGTTTTTTTAATATTATTTGTACTTACAGAACACATCTTTTTTTACAAATGTGTAAATCATACTTACACCTTTTTGTAACCTTAAAAACACCTTTCAATACTATTTATCTATTTCAATGGTAACTACTTATTTAAGTAACATAAGTTGACAAAATATTATAACTTAAGTACATTATTACATTCAGCCGACGTGACAAAATTTCATGAATAAATTTATATGAAAATTAATGTACTTACATACCAAACTTAACTACTCTACACCTGTATAAACCCATAAACAAAAAATTGGCAAGAATATAAATAAACTAACTTAGGCTAATGCGGCTTGAATACTAATTTGTTTCTTTTAATCTCCAGTAATAATTTTTACCTTTCTTAAAAAAAGTTACCTTTTCCATTTCTGAAGAGAGGAACAGTTAGGACGCTTTCAAATTTCACGCTTATAGAAGCGGTGCAGTGGCACGGCAACCGCGCGTCTGGTAGCACTTCAGTAATTTTTAATTCACTCATTCTGAGTGCAGGCGTGGCGCACGCACATCAGTGACGCTGCAACTGAGCCTCTAAACATTGTATGAAAAGTAGTGTAGTGGCCCCACTACAGCGCTACTAAAGCGTGTAATTCAAAACCGCCTTAAGCTTTACGTGTACTTGAGAATGCACATACAGTTAAATAATATATTAAGTAATTAAGGAAAATTTTAATTGTTAATACTTATTTATTAAAAGGCAATCTTTGCAACTTTTCTTACTGAACCCACAATCCGATAATTATTGTTAATATCCAAGAAATCTACGAAATTAATTTCACTATCTATGCTTCAAGAACTTGCTAACATAAATCATGAACTTATTTGAAAACTCTGCAGTTAAACGATACCTTAAGGCGCAATACGCTATGATTCTATGGATAGCCGTGAAGACAAGTAAGCACACAATCTGCATAAAGTAAGTATCGTGTTCCATGCCTAAGTCGCGGAGTAACATGCGTGGGTCTGCGTATAGGCAAAATGTGATGGGACAGTCCATTACTCGCCGGTTGCCGTAAAGAGCAATGCTGAATCCAGAGACTCCATAACGCAGATAGGATATGGACATGAGAGCTCGCATGCTGGCTTCGATGTACTTCCCGAAACCCATTCCATAGCAACATAGGGCCAGTAGAGGCGATGCTATCGCGGGGCCCACTATCGCACCGTTCTGTATGAAAAAAAAAAATGGACATATAATACTAATTGTGTAACGAAAACAGATATAAATACATTCGCTTTAGAAAAAGTGATCCAATACAAAATTCCAACTTTTTGGGAATACGCAAAATAAGTTTTGAAGTCGTGACATTTTCACATAATTAATTTATTACACTTGAGCTATTAGAGGTACTAAATGGGCCTAGTTAGTCTTGGATAATAATGATAACATTCAGCATTAAACATCAAAAATGGTTTCTGATTATTTAATTTTTAACAATGAAAGAATAATTTATGGAGGTCACTTAGAGCAGCAGTTTTTGCGTTTCAGTGGCGCGGTAGTCGCGCTTCACAAATTTTCATAATAATTCAACAATAGTGACTGCAAAAGAGGCGCGCGCATGTTACAACAGTGGCGCTACAACTGTGCTTTTAAATATTGTATGAAAATTACTATTGGCGCCACTGCAGCGTGAAGGCGCTCTTATTGACCTTTTTTAATGTCCCTATTTACCCGAGAGATAGGGTTTTCTGGAGAGATTACGGGCTCGACAAGCCTTTCGCCTTCGCTCGCTGGGGTTTGTGATTAGCTGCAGAGACGGACATGTTTGTCTGCCCAGGTGGTGTGTGGCCGGGGCGTCTGTCTCGTGAGTAGCTAGCGTGTCTTAGAAGCGGTCTAGTTGTGGGCCTGAAGCGAGGAGACGCGCGGGGCACGTGAGTTGCCCTTTAAGTTGGAAGCTATGTCCGGACATTGTCGCAGGATACTGCAGCTGGCATCTCCGGCACTAGCCCGGAGAGCTAGTAGAGGCTAAACTAGATAGGCTCCGGTCCCTCCAGCCGCTTCGGTTATTGGGAACTGGAGAGACGTCGTTTTTCGGCGTCGGGAAGTTAGCGTGGCTTACAGCTTCCCCATCAATGAGGAGATTTGGTAGTCGACTCAGAGTCAACGGTTTAGCGGTGTCAACCACTAGTTGTGCAATGCGCAACGGAAGTGACCGTGCCTACAGCTCCGGTAGCTATCTGGAAAATGGGGTGGGTACTGTACGTGCACCCGGGGTGGCTCACTCAAAGCACTAGCCTCTCGAAGAACCGGATGAAGTCAAGTACTCTGTACATTGGCTGATCTGGGGTCAGGACCTGAACTTATAAGGTGCCTGTGCGCGCATATAGAGTGCCCGTTTCGTATACCCTAAGGGTCGGTAGGGAGGGTCACTACAATCAAAACTAATGTAGAAAGATATGGGCTGACCTTTTCAAACATCTTTTGACCCAACAAGAAATAAGTTTCTTTCATTCTCATCAGTTTAGCAAGATGTTATGATTTTATCAACATTAACCCGTTTTAATAATAAAAGAAAGTCCTCTAAGTAAAAGTAAGTCACATTTGTAAATTTTAATGATGATCACTTTTTTGCCAACGGTTGTGACGTATTGTCTTTAAAAATACAGATTCAATACTAAATGCGGTGTTTACATACCGACGTGGTGGTGGAATTTCAAACGTATGAAAGAGACCCATATGATGAGTCTGTACCATTCGAACTTTCATGAGTCACTTCCAGATTAACAACCTTAATACACAACGATTTTTAAAGTCGTTTTATACTGTAAACTTATTTTGTTGATTTTTGCAATTAGTCACTTTCATTCCAAAGTATCACTTTGAGGGAATTCTGAATGATTTTTATAATAACGCACACATTCATAACCCCGCAGTATCGCGGTTGCCATGGATACACACACACATAGACAACCACAAATTGCACCCAAACTCACGAGATAAATAAATGTAGACCATACAAATATTTCTCCCGGCTCGGGAATCGAATTCGTGACGCTTATATGGCTTTCCGTATACAGTACGTCCACCAAGGAGAGACGAGGTAGGTACGCTTTTCTAATGCTTAACAACTAATATACCGTACCCGTACGTCCCCTCAAAGCTACAAATTAGGTACGATTTTCCATCTACCGTATAAGTTTAAACCATTGAAAATCCGTATTTAGTACATCCACTAGGGGATGAATTAGGTACGGCTTTTCGTAAGAAACGCTCGTAAGAAAGCGTCTCTGATTCGTCACGTCTCGAGTAAAAATATTTATATAATATATAGAATTCAATATAATAATAATATATAATTTATGTATTTATAAAAGTTAAAAGGAATACAATTACAAAATTAATCATTCAATCAAGTTTTTATCAAATACAAGATAAATTTATTAGCAAATTTAGGAAACAAACAAGTGCTATTACAGTCTGAAAGAATTTTTCGAAAACAAAAATTAAATGTTATCCATTAACTTTATTACAAAATATACTACAGAAATTAAGTAAGTGATGGTAAGTGTATAGTAGAGACTTTGAAATTCTCGTCACTCGTTCCTTTATACTTCAAAAATTGAAAATCAGCCACAAGTTTACTAACTAGACCTGTAAATCGTTCTTCATCCATTTTCAATAATCATAACTCAAGCACAAACGGTATTAATTAGAAGTTATGCCGAGAGTTACGTAAAAATACATGCAAGATCGAAATGAACTGTGACACTGCACTTGCGCGAAATCAGTTGTTATTGATATTATTATTTCTGGCCTATTTTGAAACATTTCAATATCACCAAACATGCTACTAATTGGAGCTTAGAGTTGTCTATTTTGTAGGTACTCGTATATTGGTAGTGTAGGTGAGACGGAGAGAGATAGCTTCCGTGTTTATTATTTGCGTTTTTCACTGTTTATTTAAAACAATAAGAGACAATCTCGTTTAAACTATATATGACCTTTGAGTTTTTTGATTCTGGAATTACACGACGTGACGAATCAGAGACGCTTTTTTACGAGTGTTTCTTACGAAAACCCGTCCTAATTCGTCCCCAAAAGGACTTACCAAATACGGTTTTTTAATCGCTTAAACTTATGTGATAGCTGGAAAGGCGTATCTAATTCGTCACTTCGAGGGACATACTGTGTACGGTATTTCAGTTGTTTAGACCCTTAGAAAGCGTACCGAACTCGTCTCTCCTTGGGGGACGTACTGTATACGGGAAGCCATATGCCATGGTAATCATTCGTGCAAACCGTTGGGCCAATGAGGTCGTCCAAGTACATAGGTATGATATGAGTAGAACCATGAACCGATAATTCAAAAAGACTGCTAATCTCCATACTACAGATCGTAACTCTGACAAAGATTAAAATTCCGTCTTATATCAAGATAGCGCTGAGCAATAGCCTGGAAATAGTTTATATAATGCAAATGGCCGTGAATATCAAGATATCAATTAGTTCCTCTTTAATATGAAATATAAGAAATCAGTTTTTTCTTTGTTTACTATTATTCAAATATTGATTGAGCTAAAATTATATTCTGGACTTTGACAAATATGCGTGTCAATAGATGGCACTGTGTGTTACAAGCTTATTTATAAATTATTTAATGTAAAAAATAGATGGCGCTAATCCTAAACAAAAGAATAGCCGCCACTCCATCCATAAAAATCTGTGCAATAACCGCCATCTAGTTGATTTGTTAGTTTAGATAAACTGCGACTTGACAATGTCACACAAATTAGTTACAAAAATAGCTGTTTACATCTTGTCGCGACATGTACTGTACCAATAAGTACTAAATACCCAACTACGCTGTCTTGTGTCGAGATTAGCACTCCTCTTCAGTTATTGGTCCACAGTGGAACATAGTATACTCACGGTAGAACTAAAAGCAGATCCCACTGCAAGTCCCAAACCTTCAGAGCAGATAGCCACCATAATTCCACAGATGGAGAATAGCAAGAATCTATTTAGTTCCAACATCTGACCAGACATTAAGTAGCAGATGGTTAGGAACACCAAGCCGAAGATTACCTGAAACATTGAATTGGTCATCCTTCATAACGCGCACAAGCGATGGATGGCATTTCTTGTCTGAGTCTGTATTTTCGAGCACACACATTCCGAATGTCTTCAAGGTGCTATAGAATGATGAGCTCGCCCATAATATGCCTATCTTATAGGCGAGCTCATTCCACCGTAGACTCCATTTTTATTTATTTATTTGGTTCTCCAACAAAGAGTACAATATATGTACATTACAATAGCATAATTATACAAAACAAATACAGTTGACCCAAGAGAATCTATAACTTTTAGTGCAATACAATTATTTTAAGTAAGTTCATAGACGTAGTTGTCGAATCAGCTGTATTGTAATATTGCATATAAAGTGTATACATCCGAGAGAGGGAACAGTGCAATCTGAGATTAGTACGATGTTTTGGTATGCGAAACAAGTTCCTATTATGATTTCTCTGTGGTCGAGTTGGAACGCGGAACTTAATAAATCTGGGCAACTAAAAACCCCAGTGACTAATTTCTTAAAAAAAACTTAGTCGTGCATTTTGCGTCTTGTTTCAAGTGTAGTAAACCCAAAAATTTGCTCTAAGGCTAGTTTGTGGGCAAGAGTAAGTCCATTTAAAATAAATAATGTATAACAATTAATCAAGAACACTATAGAGATATAAAGATTCTATAGAACTTTAGTAGATCGTTGAAGATGTTGGTGGTATAGCTTACAGTAGGAATTGAATAAAAGATCAATTTCGCCAGAAATATTACATCACACATTAAATTTGCGGTACCATATAAAGGTTTGTGAGCTTATATATCAGCAATTTATTAGTTAACAGCGCTTCCTAGTGGTTTATTCCAGATTTAAAACCTTTTTGTTTCAAACATAAATTACATTTTAAATTGTTAAATGTAGCGAACACTACTACCCAGTTGTAAGGAAAATTGTCTTGAAAATACAGAGCAAGAAACACTAATAGTCTTTCACGATTCCTTACAGAAGATATAATTCTGTAGCCGCAAGTCGAGATACGTTGATATTCATAGGAATTTGCGCAGAGCTTAAAACCGCAAAGATCTGAGGGGTACTGCCACTGCGCCCGTCACCCTGAGACATAAATTGACAAGTCCCATGTGCCTGTAATTTCACCAGCACCCTTACCCTTCAAAACTGGAACACAGTAATGCTGACATTACTGCTTGGCGATAGAACGGTGGCAGTACCCTGGACGAACTCTTTCACAGTTCTACAATTCGTACCAAAGTTAAACTATAGCAACGTTCGAACTTACCATAACAGGCAACGAAGAGAATGTAAGAGCAGCGTAATATGCTTTCAAACTGTACCAGCGATTAAAATATTCTCGGCGTAGGATTCGTACTTCCATTGGAACTGAAAAGAAATCTCATAATGTATTTAGATACAAGTAGGAGACAATATATTATGGTGCAGAATTCCATATTTTATAAAATGTATTCCTATCGAAACACTACGCTTGTAAGGCAAACGCATGCAGAGAGACTGCGGATTATATATGGTAAAGTAAAGACGAGAAATGAAGTAAAGACGAGAAAATATGATAAATTGCTATATTAAATTTTCACAAAGGTATTTCTTAAAGATAATCTAAATAACTTTAAGAACGTCTGAAGTTAGGTACGTTAGGTCTAATAGTGTCTTATAATTTATAATTAACACGTTCACGGTCACGTTGCAATTGCGCCCCGTGCAATTGCAATTGCACGGGGCGCGCGTTCCGCGGTGCACGAATGCAACTGCATTGACCTGACGTTTTGAGTATGCGTGTTATGTGCAAATCTGGATACACAACAGCTGCGTAACAGGGTTGTTTAGGTTAACAAGTGCTCATGTCATTGGTTTTTTAATGAGACGAGCAAATCATGCGCTTGACTGGTGGTAAGCGAAACGTCTAGGTATACCCGTAACTGTTCTAGTGCCCCTCAGAGCTTCTTTTATTGCAAAGATCTAAGGTCCACTGCACCCGTCACACTAAGATGTCAAATTGACAAATTCCAAGTGCATGTAGTTTCCCCAGTACCCTTTCCCTTGTTAAGGCTAAACCGGAACGCAGTAATGTGAGCATTACTGCTTGGCGGCAGAAATAATAATAATAACGCACACACTCGTACCCTCGCACTAGGGAAACCCTGTATCGCGGGTATCATGGACACACAAATAGACAACCACAAATTACACCCAAACTCACGAGAGAAATAAATGTAGGCCATATAAATATTTCTCCCGGCCCGGGAATTGAACCCGGGATCTCTGCGTGGTAGTCCGATAGCATGGTAACCGTTCGGCCACTGAGGCAGTTAATGTAAAATATGTATGTTAGCAGTACTTTTCAGAATTAACTTTTTCACAAAGAGCTAAATTGCTTCAAATATGCCTCTTCCAAAGTTCCACGGTCTGAATTGTTGGCGACATTAGGAGGAAATTGCTCACAAGGGCTATGTATGCATGTTTCTTATAATTTGTGCCTTGTGCTGTATTGTCCTGTGATCGGGTCACAAATATAGGAGTACTCAATATGAAAAACATGGAGCTCATGTGTTTACCTACTCTGGTGTTCCATTACGCTGAGGAAGATGTTGTAGTTCGGTCATGCCATGATGGCAATAAGTATAAATTAATCCAGCTTATCATCCAAAATCGCTGAAAAACGAAGTGTCGGTAGTAGAGAGTGTCGATAGCACTCCTGGTTAAAAAATTTGAGAAAGTAGACTGCTTTGAGCTGCAGACTTTAAGCCAGGATTGCCGTGATGTCATCCAACATCTGAGGTGAGCGGAACAAGGAGGCTGTGTTGTTTATCATTATTCTAGTTCTTTAATTGTATTTCAACTTTGGTTTTATTCAGGTATATGTGCGCGCGAATCATTTTTAGATTGTTCTTAACCATTATTCGCTATAGAATATCAGCGAGGGTTAGATTCACATGGCATGTTGTTTTTTCATTAGCTTGTATTTTTTTTATTATACTAAGTGTATGTCGTACAAAGGAATTCAGGGTTTGAACTTGTAAACTACCCATTTTCATTATGAATGACTCTTTAGAGTTTGACGTTTCTACAGCTGTGTAAAAGGCTACAGTTAATGTTGTTTGAGTTTTAGTGAATTGATCAAAGATGCTTTTGTTAGAACATTGAACACAATACACGTCTTTAGAATGTCGTGTATGTTCATCAAGGCTTTACGTAATAATCACGCACCTCGTTAGAAGTCTAGTGTAGACTTTAAAAGGACTTCTGTTTTAAAGTGAGAAAGCCCCAATTACCATAAAAAAATCTCAAACCATACACGTTGCACCATGAATAAAATATTATACCGAATAAATTGAAACAAAAAACTATTAAATCGCGAGAGAGACTCTTTTTGATTCATGAGGCAGGCAGTTTATCATGACAGAAGGAAAAAGTCCCTGTTGCTGCTTTTATTACTTTTAGGCCTCAATTTTTTTTAGCACTTCATATAAAATGTCAAATTTAGAGTGAAGTATAACCACGGTAATAATATGGTAATAAGCTTAATTCCAGTGATATTGTATCTCACTGGGTCTGTTCGAAAAAAAAAACTTTTTGCGCTAAAAATACCTGGAAAAGTGTGTCAAAATGGCCATATTGAAGATATTATGGTGTCATTAAAGCGGCTCGGGTAAAATGAAATGGATGTTCAGTAAAACCACAACGAGTATTAATTTGTAATTTAGTAATTTGTAATTAAGTTTTATTGAATGTTAGGACGTTTTAAGTGTAGTTGTTACACGGGTGGAAGTACATTCGAGAATGTTGTATAGTTTTCAGAAACTTTTTCGATAATGAATTACGCAATTATGAATATTCGAATCTATCAACTACCATTATGCTTTTTTATGATAGCGCCTGTGGTAAACGATATGCCTATCCTGTCTAGACATAATTTGCAGTGGCATTTAGAGCTTTAAATGAAAATGAATGTCCTCCTGAGATATAAGTTGATAAGTGTTTGTAGTTTCAGCAGGACCCATATCCTTCTAAACCGGAACGCGGTAATTCTCACATTACTGTTTGGCGGCCGAAATAGGTAAGGTGGCACTACTACCCTGGAGGAATTTTTTCACAAGCTCTACATCTACTTAAACTACTTTTTTTCTGAAGTCACTATTACCTATATGTTTTGCATGCTGTTATATTTTTTTCATAGAATATGGAAAACATGTGGAGATCATGATCATAATAATTTAATTTTTTTAAATAGGAAGGAACCGACTTCAAACTTTTTGCTTATATGCACTTGCAAACTAAAACTAAAAAGTTAACAATCGGTTACTGGAAAGTGCACAAAACCTGATTCTTCCCCTAGTTTACCACCCTTAGAAATGGAAAATTTTCTTTAAAATACTAAGGTTACCCTTCCAACAAAAAAATAATTATCAAAATCGGTTCACAAATGCCTCCTCTTTTTGAAGAGGGTTAATTATGAGACATGTTTTATAGACTTACACAATAAAATCGGCACCATGATGTAAGTATACATGAAAAAGACCAGGCAGCTGAGACAGAACTTGAAGTTAACAATGGGCATACTGCCATCGTTGCCGACGTTGAAGAATATGCTGCCCAGAAGCACAGCAGAGATAACGTGGTGGGCTAGTTGAATCCAGAGAGCCAGCTGGAATAAAAAAAGAGAATATTTAGTTAAATTTTTTTACGATATCAAGTGACGGGACGAGCAAGTCGTGTGCCTCAAAGGTCTTAGAAGCACTGCCCTTGCACCTGTCACATAAGTCGAAAAGTCTAATATGCCTGTAAGTTCACCAGCCACCCTTAGCGCCTGGTGGTAAGCGAGATGCCTATCTGGTTCAGACATAATAACATTTGCTGTGGCATTTAAAGCTTTATCATATACGTCATCCTGAGACATAAGTCAACAAGTCCCATGTGCCTGTAGCATCCATACCGTTCTAAACCGTAACACAGTAATAATGTTCACGTTACTGCTTGGCGGTAGAAATAGGAAAGGTGGCAGTACTTCCCTGGACGAGTTCTTTCTCTACGGTTACCAAAACAGCTGTTCTTTAGACATTTCATTTATCGTCAATACTTTTCAATTATTTGGTATTTGATTTGATGACCTCGGTAGCTTACTAATCTTGGCATTTTCTCGAACTTGTCTAAGCTGTTTGCTCTAAAAAATGACGTCACGCGTGTTTTCGTCTGGATGAGATGAGATGTGAGCATGATTGCAATGCATGATGACAGCTCGTGCTCGTGCTATAGCAGCCCCATAACTGATTGGCAAAAACTTTTACTACTCTTGCCAGTTCTCGCAGGTTCGACTCTTACAAAAGGTCAAATAACTATGGCTCAATTTACATTGCTGCGTCTTCATAAATTTATGTCATCCTTAGCTACCAGTTAGCGCCCAGATACACGAGGAGAAAGTTTTCGCGCCTTCATGTACATTAATGGCGAATCTGAATTCAATTTACTAGGCAACAACATTTAAATTCCTCTGAATAGTACTACCGGGCCGCCTCGTAGACCAAATTCAAGCCAGGCGTCGCCCGCGTGCCCGAGATGCTCATTTAAGTTAAAACGTAAAAGATAAACAAATAGAGCATATTTTGCCATGACAGACGCTCGCGGCCACTGCGCGGCGGCAACGTGGACCCCGCTCTTCGTCGAAGAAATGCGCCATTAAGCATCGTACAAACGGGGTCTATTCCCATCCTCCGTCCAACAAGTACTGTCAAATAAGTAATACTCGAACATGGCCAAAAAGGCGCATGATGAGAATGAAGCTTCATACTTTACATTTTCTTTTGATTGGGTGGAGAATTACTTATTCGACAGTACAAAATATGCTGTATTTATTTACCTTTTACGTTTTAACTTTAACGAGCGTCCCGGGCGCGCGGGCGATGCTGGCTTGTCCTCGGTCTACGTGGCGACTGCGCGGTTGTATTTTTCCGAGTAATTTAAATGTTGTTGCCTAGTAAATAGAATTCAGATCGGACGGGCGAAAACTTTCGCGTCGTTTTGGATGAAGAATGGGAGTAGATCCCTAAAAAGGTACTAGCTTTGGCTCGTTGCGCATAGGCCGTGCGTCTACCGGAGAATTCACGCGCATTCGAGTCCGCACGTTACACATTTACATAAATTCCGTTATATTCTGTACAATTTCTTTACAAAAATCGTTTCTATTTCTTTCCACGGCATTATAAATTGAGTCTTAAACCGTTCATGGACAGTGCAAGTGAAAAGGGGTACAAGTCAAAAAAGCCCACTTTACAAGGTAACGCGAAAAACACTTAACGCTTAATCTCATATTAAGCTTTAACTTGCTTTCGTGTCTCCTTGTAAAATTGATTTTTTTTACTTGTAACCCTTTTCAATAGAGCCGCAGAATGATAGCATGGGATACCCCGTCTCGCTATTATGGATTTCACAAAACCGACTACGGGCTGTACATTGCGATTCCAAGTGCTTTCTATGTAGTTGCCGCCTACTGCTTATCTATAGAGAAGTATCAACAATGTACTGAGAAAATTCAATGATTTACATAGTGTTACATTCTAGGCGATAGCTGAAAATCAGTACGTTGTTTTTGGGCAACACCCGCACAGAGTTTGGTTACCTACATACGGTACTCACAACTTGCTATTCATTCGTAGAACATTATATTTATTGAATTTCCTTCCTTTTTATTATTTTGTATGTTTTTTTTTCTTACTTATTATTTCATATTCTTGTGTGTGCTTGTGTAAAGTCAATAAACGTGTCCTATCTTCATACCTTAAACATTTTACATTGAATCAATATTAACTGCCTCTATGTCCAAACGGTTACCATGCTGATCTGCACACAGAGTCCCGGGCTCAATTCCCGGGCCGGGAGAAATATTTATCTGGCCTACATTTATTTCTCTCGTGAGTTGGGTGTAATTTATGGTTGTCTATTTGTGAGTCCATGGCATCCGCGATACAGGGTTCTCTAGTGCGTGGCTATGAGTGTCTGCGTTATTATTATTATTAATATAAACACTACGGCAAGAAAAGTACTGACATTTTTGTGTTTGCTACTGTTAAATACTGTCTATGAAAAGGTTAAGCTGTTTTACCAATTCGTCAGAGAGACTTAATGTTCAATTATTTTTTTAAAAGATGTTGAATAAAATTGTGTTCATAAGCGTGTTCATGCCAAGATCAGTCAATTTACTTTTCACCTCACTAGCTCGGAAAGGCTTTCCTTCTCATTAGAAAACACAGCGCGCAAAAACGTTTTTTCCACGCTATCGTGGAAAAGGTTTTTGAACTTCGAACTTGACTATGGACTGTGGTGCACCTAACTTTTTCTTTCGATGAAGAAACATGACACGTTCAACTACGCGATTTGTCGAACATTATTTATGGAATATAAATCCGCTGGTATATTTTATTCTTATTATTGTTGACATTAAATTGACAAAGATAATTAATTTTGTTTATTAAAACTGATTTGTTATAGTTCAACTGTTTTTCTTTCATCTATCAAGTGTTTCGATCGGCAGCAAAATTGTTTTGCGTCTCGTGCCTTGAAAACCACGCTACGCTCTTGATTCTGTTTTTGAACCACTCGCTTCCCTCGTGGTTCAATCTAGAATCCTTCTCTTGCTCAGGTTTCAATACAAGCACTCGTGTCAAACAAGTACTTTGCAGCCTCGCATGACAAATAACTATTCTACATAGAACTAGACAAAGAAAGTGACCGGAATAAATGGAATTGCATGGTATGAGAAAGTCTTCTTCATTCAACAGAGAGTGGATAATGCTTGATAAAAAAAATAAATTATTTTTACAACTAACCTCGTTTCTTTTATTCTGCACGAACATCCGTTTGGAAAGAATGATGAATTGCGTGAGGAATGTTGTGGGGAATTCCAATTTCTGCAGGTTCTCCTTAGCCACGTGCTCTACGAAAATGCGCTGAATCGACTCGTCCGATCGTAGAACCGGCTTCCTGAAAGCATATTTAAACAATATTTTTATTTTATTTTTTTTCTTTTATTTCAATTTTTATGTTTGTTTTTGTTTATTTTATTTTATTTTATTTCAAATAAAATTTTTTTATGTGATTTTATTATAATATTTCAATTTTCAGATTTTATTGTTATTTTATTCCAATTTTAATTTTATATTTTATTGTATTTTATATTATTACATTTATAAATACTGAACTGGAAGCTAACAAGGATCTATGCTGTCCTAAATAAAAAAAAAGCTATTATTATTATAAGATATAGTATCACATGATATCTAGAACAGGGCATGGATTCTAAAAACAGCG